GCCAAGCTATCCTAAAGGAAATCAAGGGACGGATCTCAATTGAAAAGCCGGTCCCCATGAAGGGTTCTGCAAGCAACCGGAACCAGGAAAAAATCTGTGATTATCATGAAGATGTTGGTCATCACACCAACGAATGCATCAGTCTCATGCGGTATCTGGACCGCCTGGCTGAGCAAGGCGATCTTGACCCTTATGTCAAAAAATCTACGGGGAACACTTCCTCGAAAAAGCAGTCGGCCAAAAAGAGTCAACAGGCCGACAGCTCTGATACAGATGATGCAGTCATCTACACCATTGCAGGCGGCTTCTCAGGAGGCGGCCCCACAATTTGTTTAAAAAAAAAAAAGGGAAAACCGCCGTGACGGAGGAGGGGCGCCTTAGCCGGACGCCCAGCCAGCGGTGGTGGCGCCAGCTGCAGACGCCGCAACCAGTAGGCTGGCGCCTGGGCTGGACGCCATAGCCACGGTTGTGGTGTTTATTCAAAGCGCCGCAGCCGTGGCTATGGCGTCCAGCCTAGGCGCCAGCCCACTGGTTGCGGCGTCTGCAGCTGGCGCCACCACCGCTGGCTGGGCGTCCAGCCAAGGCGCCCCCCCCCCCCTTTTTTTTTATATTTGTATTAAAATATTGTTTTTTTTTTTTTTGTGTAATATCTTTTTCAATTGTTTTTATATTTTGTTGTTTATTTTAATAAATTTTATCAATTTTGTTGTATTTTTTTCTATGTTTATATTTTGTTTACAATTATTTGTTTGTTTTATTTGTACATTTTAAAAATACAACTATTTTTTCTATGTTTATATTTTTTCTATGTTTATATTTTGTTTACAATTATTTGTTTGTTTTATTTGTACATTTTTATTTTTATTCTCAATTTCAATTTGTTAGTACATTTTTTTGTTCATTTGATATTGTTTTTGGTTAGTTAATTTATTTTAATTTTTATTATTGATATTGTTTTTGGTTAGTTAATTTATTTTAATTGGGAATGAATTATTTATGTTTATATATATTCTTATGTGTTGGTTTTATTTCCTTTCTTAGTGTATTTTTTATTCTATTAATATTTTGGCCGCAAGGTCCACCTCCCCACCGGATACGCCGCAGAGCGCCATCCAAGTCATCCTGGTACACATGACGATAAACATTTCGGTTAGAGGCAATTTCGTTGTACATCAACTGACGCACCAAACCGTAGTTTTCTTCGCCCATTTGAAAAACATCAGCCACGACCCGGAATCCGCAGTTACCATCTCCGACTACATCATTCCACCCTTCCAAGTACGGCATGATGATCGTAGGTATCCTTTCCTTGTATGGAAACTGATCAACATCGTTTCTTCCTATTCACCATATAATTATAGACAGTTAAGAAGGCAGGAGTAACACTTTAAAACTATGTGCAATGTAAACAACCAAAACGTACCAGTTCTCAGGGGCATATTCACAGACGATGAAGATTGACTACGACTAGATGACGATGTCCGACCACGAGCACGACCACGACCAAGACCACGGATATACTCAAACGCACTCCTGTTCCGCCGTTGTCGACCTCGAGGACGGTCAACTCCTTCGGGTTCCTCATAATCTAAGGTAGACGTGTGGAACATGTCATGAAGTACATGAGTAGCGTCACGAATAATAGAAGGATGGCTGGAGGACACTCGGTCGTACATCGAACGAAACTGCTCCAACTCCTCCTGTTCACGGTCGGTCGTTTGAGTGTCTGCATGCTCACCAATAACGAGCGTCCTCCAGAATGAATGGACCTGATCAACATGTAACGACGCCCTTTCTTCTGTAATAACGCGGTGAATGGTGCATGCGCAAGGTAATCCATGAGTTACTGAAATAACACACCCACACCGAGCATACACTTCGTCAGCCAAGTCCCTCATCCTGTTCAGCTCAGTGAGAATCAACCCCAAGCAGTAGTGCGACACACGACCATGGAGAATCTTAAATATAAAATGGCTATACATCGTACCATGTCGTCGTCTGGAGTCCTCTAGAGAGTTCCTGATGCCGTTCTTCTGAGTTTCAATTGACTTGTTAAGTCTATCGAACAGTGTATCCAAAGCAGCGGTCGATGAATCAATCCAGTCCTTGGTAGCTCTATGAGCGCTCTCAACTCTACATGTTGTAGTGTTCCCGAAATGAAGTACCTGGTTTGTCCAATATTTGACAAACTTTTCCCTGTGAGGGACCCATTGCTGCATCACATAGTCCACCAGTGCCGGACACCACTGGTACGAATCCCTGAAGTTAGCCAATGCTTGCTCATACGCTTCCTCTGTGGTAGCCTGTAGGATCTTCCGCCACTTACCATTCACCAATCTCTCTGCCATTTCCAAATTCTTGTTGAAAAGGTTGTAGGCTTTCACTTTCACGCAGTTGTTGATGTGCCATGTGCACAATAAGTGGTTCGATTCTGGAAACAGATCTGCTATGGGGGCAAAGAGACCTCCCTCACAGTCGCTGACGATGGCTGCTGGATGAACATTAGGCCCGATGTAGTTTCTCAGCTTCTCCAACACCCAATAATAACTTGGAGCCGTCTCATCCTTGATGATTGCATGACCAATCAGAAAGTTCTGGTTCGTTGGAGTCATCCCCATGATCTCAACCAGTGGGAACTTGTACTTGTTTGTCTTGTACGTTGAGTCGATCAAAATCACAAATGGCCAAGACTTGATCATATCAGCACAATCAGGATGCACAAGGAAAAGATGAGTCACCTCCGCTGTATCTTCATCAGAATCAAACCAGAACAGGTAACCACGTGATTGTGCCTGGTGTAGCAGCTGCTGTATAGGGTTCCTTCCCTCTGACCGTTCAAACTTGAGTTGCTGTCTGACGTTGTAGATGTGTCTTCGGTTTGGATGGTCTTCTGGAAATTTCTCTAACACAGATGCTAATATTTTAGCAGGCTTGACTTGAGCATCACTCATTTCTTTCACAACTAGTTTCGCAGCAGGACTTAAGTCGCTCAGCTGTCGATGACCCTCTTCATATACTATCATCTCATGGTTGTGATACCCCCATTTAGAGTAACCAATCACTTCCCAACCGTCACGACTCCGTAGTTGTCGAACCTTTACTCTGAACTCACACCCACAATCATTCCGCTTTGTACCAAACCGAGTGGCTGTACGAAAATCTCTTTCTTCTCTTTTGCGATAACGGTCACATCTCAAAATGCGATCCATTCTACCATCCCGTTGAGATTTATGAGTTACTACTACCAAGCAAAATCCAGCTGCAATTGCAACCTGTTTTGCCCAATCAATCGCCTGTTGAGCTTCTTCGAATGGACCATCATGTCCAAATATCCCACTGCAATCATTTCCGTCTCCACCATAATCCTGCATCAATTATATATTATAATAAATACATTTAACGAATAATACATTTAATTTCTATATTTACACCAGAATTAACACAAAAAAAAGCATAATTATGTATAATCAAACTTAATTTTTATAAAAACCCAATTCGAATTTTCAAACTAAATTTAAAAATATACCATTTCGAATTTTCAAACTTAATTTTAAAAAAACCTATTTCGAATTTTCAAAATTAATTTAAAAAAAACCCATTTCGAATTTTTTTAAAAAATCATTTTCGATTTTTTTTTTTAAAAATAAATAAATAAATAAAAAACAACAACAAAATCAAAAAAGAAAAAAAAAATTAATATATAAAGGTGGCGTCTGCCAGGGCTGCCACAGCCACTGGACTGGCGCCTGGCAGGGCTGCCTCAGCCAGTAGAGTGGCGCCTGGCCAGGACGCCAGTCTGGTGGTCTGGGCGTCTGGGCTGGACGCCACTGTGGTGGTTCTGGCGTCTGGCTTGGACGTCCAGGCTACGGTTTGGGCGTCCATCCTAGGCGCCGGAGCCACTCCGACGGTAAACCGTGAATTTTAACGGTGACTTACCTCGTTTTCCGTCGACGACGACGTACCTCCGGCGTCCCCCGCATCTCCGGCCTGCCCTCCGGTCTCCCCCGACGAGCCAGTACGGCTCCACATTTTTTAAACCGAGATTATTTCAATTTTAGAAAATGGGCATAATGGTCACACCAAGTCATATTTGTGGGCTTTATATGGTAATTTGCGGGCGATGTTTAGCGATTCACCTAACTAACGCCCGCAAAATAAACTAAAATTACAAATTTACCCTTTTTAATCAAAAAAATTACCCCCTCAATTTACCCCCTCTTCATACTACTATACCCACCACCACCACCTCCTCCTCTTTTAACCACCAACTCCTTACCTTCGGTTTCACGATCTACACAGCCGCAGTAATGACAAGAAAGGACAAAGGAAAGTTGGTCGCCGACGGAGAAAATGTTTTTTTTTTATTTTTTTTGAATTTGCGGCAAACGCCTAGATTTTTCGCACGTCCTAGGCTCAAACGCCTAGTTCTTGTGAACAATCGTGTGGTTGTATGAAATATCTAGGCGTTTGAGGTGAAAAGCCTAGTTTTTTAGAATACCCTAGGCTGAAATGCCTAGTTTTTTTCGAATAGCCTAGGATGTTTCGAAAAAACTAGGCGTTTCAGCCTAGGGTATTTTAAAAAACTAGGCGTTTCAGCCTAGGGTATTCTAAAAAACTAGGCGTTTCCTGGGTTTTGAATTTTTTTAAAAAATTTATCGCGACGTACCAATTTCATACGGTTTGACGAGCCTTCTACAAGCGTCTAAGGTTGTGTTTCTTGTATTTCGTCGTTGTCCCTAAGATCTAACGAAATTGATTTTGCAAATAATACCATCGATGAGCGTTGGTGGTCGTTGACCACTAAGAGAACGGTAAAAAAAATTGTGTACACTAAAAGTGTGAAATTGAAGTAAAATTAATTATTTTTTATAATCATTATTATAAGGATAAATACGTAATTTTATTTTATTTTGCGGACGTTAGTTAGATATTTGAGGGCGATATTTAACCACCCAAAAAAAATTTAGAGCCCGCCGGAATTCGATTTAAAATATAAAAGAAAAAAAAAAGGTCCGCTTGGATTTCGAGAATTAATTAAGGGAGTAAAAACCAAAATTACAGAGCTACTACAGTCTACAGCTGACCGTAATACAATTGACACCGTTAACAACAACATTTTCCATCCAACCTTCTCTCTCCTCACTCCTCTCTTTCTCAACAATGGAGGCAAACTTGCAACAGATGAGCTCACTCAATCGGCGCCTTCAAACGCAAAATCACTCCACCACCACCATCATCACAACTACCTTCAAACGCAAAATCACTCTTCGCCGCCGACCTCTCTTCAATGGTGCGGTGGAGTTTGATCAATCATTAATGAAGCAAGAAGGAAAAAGCTTTTCAATGGTTAATGTCAAGTAACTCAATTGCAGTTACGGCGTCAAACAAAATGTCGCTAATTCATCAAGTGGGGGCCACAAAATCTGATGGAGCATAAGATTAACAAAGTATGTTAATCATTAAGATTAACCAATGTTTAACAACATTAATTGATTGATATAATTTGTTGGTAAACATTAATAACTCTACTTCTGTAATGATCACTTCACATTGCATTTATATTTAGTCTGTTTTTCTTTGGGATCCCTAATTATCTGTTATAATGAACTAGGATTCAGGGCAATGCCCAATTTCATCTAATGGATCCTTCAATCATATACTCTTAGATTAATTTCTTGGCAATGCCCAATTTCTCCTTTTATGTAATTAGGATCTTTAATACCAAGGGTTTACTTAAGGTTGCTGCTTCAAATTTTACTTTTTTCATTCATGCACTATTTGATTTGTACTCTTTAGTTCATGTTGTGAATATTTGCAAATGATTTCATTAAAGCAGCCTCAGTGTAAGTATCTTACTGGCTCATCTCACAGACACGGGAAGCGTGCCCATTATTCTGAGGAAGTTCATATTGATGAAGCAGCGAAGAGGCGCAACAAAATGGATTCTCCTTCCCAGGAAACTGAACCAAGGCCACGGAAACAAGATTCCGGGAGCACGGAGCATCAAGGTATAATTTTCAGTTATTTCTATATTATTGATTCATAATGCATCAAAATTTGGATCACCCTAGTAACTAATTTTAGCATCCAATGTCCCAATCTTTTGTTTATTTATTTTGGATCTCGCTAATGAACACCTCTGGGTATTGGATAAGCATTTAAAATATTACATAAAATGGTATTAATATAAGATTCATTTTAATTTAATATTACTACTTTTAGCTAGCTTATTCAACTCTCCCGGGGCGTTCGTCAGCAAAGACAACTTTGTTTGTCAAATTCAATTGTAACCTTGAGAGTTGAGACTATAATATATATATATATTGTAGAGTGTGGTGATGTAGAGATTCTGCATAACCAGCTGGGGGGTCTTTTTGAAATGTTGAAGCCAACTCTATTAGACCTTTGTGAAGCTCTGCTACTTAAGGTATGCTTTTAGTACGGAGTCGAGAAAATGGTGCATGTGTTGTGGATATTTTTTTTTTTATAATGCTTTGATGTTATGTGTGGCTGTTTGATGGGAAGTATTCTCTTGCATAATTTTCTGGGATATCTTGATTAGATATTGCAAAAACATGTTTTCTTTTCTTATCCTTTTTTTGATGCTATGGCCTATTAATTATTATGTAATACTTCTTCTGTTCCCCAATTAATGCAACATGGGGATAGGACATGGATTTTTAAGAAGAGGAGGGAGATAGAGAGGAATAAAGATATAGACTCGTGTGATGAGGAGAGAGAAAGAGAGATAGCATGTGCAAATAGGGAAATGTTGTAATATTTGTGAAACCACCCAAAATGGTAATTGTTGCAATATTTGTGAAACGGAGGAAGTAGGTGATTTGGGTGAGTTGTATCATCTTGTTTAGGGTATCACGGGATGTTATGTTGGAATCAATTACGGAATGAGATAATCGAGAAGAAAGTAGAAATTACAGTTTAAATAAGATGGAGATGAATTGTCAAAGGTGGTTCGGACATTTTAATATTGAGATGGGGTGATGCACTAGTTAGTTAGGAGGTTGATAGGGTGGCAAAGTGATGGCCTGATGAAATTGTTAAGGTAAGGGGAGAGACTTGAGAGAATTTTCTATATGGTAGTCATGGATCATATTTGTGCCAAAATTTAACGCTAATACTCTAGTCTAGGTTTAAATTTAAGCATTGAACCTATTAACCTACTATATATATATATATATATATATATATATAGACCCTTGTTCTGGGCAGAAATGTAACTGTTAGAGTTTACCCTCAGTTAGGATTTGCAGTTTGACAGTGAGGAAAAATTTGAGAGACCAAGAGAGATACCTGAAAAGTGGAGTATTTTCTCTGAGAGGGGTTAGATTACTAGTTGTAGTCTTTATGGCTAATGACTTGAAACTTGGCAACTTGACCTTACTATGTTGTTTTTGAAAGCCTGTGCTGCCTTTTTCCTTTTCTACTGTGTCCGTAAAACATTTTTGTGGGATAAAATGCTGTACAACAGTTGGTATTTTTTACTAATTGGTCCAGCTTATTGTTTTTCAAGAATATATGTTAAGTGGATAAAATTTGAGAGAGATAATCATGATTTACCTTGATGTCAGTGTAAGCTCGTCACTGACATCAGCGATTTCTCTGAGTTAGTCCAGTCATTCTTGCTCCCGTTGTCATAGTCCACAGCCGTTAGCTAAACTAATAAGAGTCCTTGTACCTCAAAATATGCCTTATGCCCGGGAGGTAGTGTGTTTTGCTAGATAACATAATGGAAATGAGCTTCGGGAGGAAGAGGGGGAGGGTGTCTGGTTAGCGTATATCTTTGAATCAAACATTGAATGAAATCGCTTATTTTATGTCTTTCGTTCCAAATTAGTTGATACGTTTCTTTTATCACATTTGCCAATGCTTAAACTCAATCAAAAATATCTTCAATTATACTATTGTAAAAAATACTAAAACTTGAGTTTTAACTCACATGACTCTTTTTACGTATCTATAATTCACAAATGTTATTCAAAGTAAATTATATGAATCGTGTCAAAAGTCAATACAACTAATTTGGAACGAAGGATAGATATCAAACTTGAAATTGGATAGAATAGACAAAAGGGATTTCTATTATTTAGAGGTTAAATGTCTATCTGCAGTGACTATTATATTTACTTTTAAATGATACACAGACTGTGAGACTTAATCTAGTAATGATAGTGTGATTAAATTTTAAATTTTGTGCAGGATAATGTGAAAAGATTGGCTGAGAAATTTCTCGAGTATCTGGTGAAAAATTATCTAGTCACAAGAGAGCCTGAGACTACATTACAAGCTTTCTTATTCTCAGTGGTATGTATTGCCTCCTTGTTCTTTTTTATAATATATATTATTTTAAAGGTATGAAGAACCCTTATGAATCGGCACATCTCACAAGTCAATCTGGTCCAGCTTTGCAGTTCAGACTCATTGGGAGGGAGAGGGGGTTGTATAGGGGAATCCTCATCCCCAAAGAGTCCCTAGTGGGCTGTAATCCTCCTTGTCTGCTGTGGGATTTTTCTTCCAACTCCATCCCTATCCTTAGATCATATGAGAACACTTGTAATTTTTTATATTTTTTATTTTCCTTGAATTGGGTGGCCAAAATAGAATGAGATTATTTTGTGTCATATTGTCATGTTTTACATTTTTTATCTTTATAACCCTTGTTCATTTTTGTATTGAATCAAAAGGATTTACCTGGGCTTTGCCTTTCCATTTGATTAATTTCCAAAATATTCAAGTTATCGTATTTCTTTATCTTCCCAAATAGCACCAGGGGAACTTTTTAGTGTTGCATTCTTATTGGTGGAGTATTGTTTAGTTGTGTTATGTATATTTACAAAGAGCATTTATGCATTCTTCATGGACATTTACATGAAATCTTTGCCAAGGAAATAGCAATACAAGATCAATTCAAATGTATGATTACAGGGTGCAACAATTAAAAAGCAAAAAGCTTCGTATATCAGAATAATTTATTTATTTAGAGAATCTGTAGTCATGTGTTGCTCTCTGTAATTCAGGAAAGGTTTGGTGTAGTCTCATCTAAAGATATGTAGTCCTCCAAAATTGTTAAGCTGCTTTAGTAAATTTTCTTGTGTTGTTTTTGTTTTTCTTTGAATGATTCTATTTTCTTTTGCTCACTTTGATGTGCTGTCTTTAATAGTGTTGGACTGCAGCTGAGGAACTGAAGAACAAAATTGATCACAAAAAGTCACTTACCGTTGCCAGAGAAAAGTTGGGCTTTAATTGCTTAGAACGTGACACTGAGAAAATAATTTCAAGGTTGAAGCCAACATGGGATAATTTTATATGTTTGAGAACGAAAAATCCAGATTCGGAAGGAAATTTTATAGAATCGCCACTAGGCAACCTGAAAAATATAACTGTAGAGCTTGAGGAACATATGAAGAAGGTTGAAATGAAATGTGGCAGGCAAATGGAGAAGTTAAAAAATAAACACTATGAAGAATTTGAGAAATTTGAAAAATCCTGGGAGGAGTTGACGATGAAGCTAGAAAAGCGGTGTAAAGTAGAGTCAACCGTTATTCGTTATACTTACGCTAATTCTTCAACTGGAATTGATAAGTTAAAGGCCTTGGATAATGATCATGCTAAGAAAAGGGAAGAGCTAGAAAAACAAAAATCCATCAAACATGAAGAGCTTGAAGCTAGGCAAAAGGCTGAAAAAGATATAGAAGAGAAGAAGCTAGCTGGGTATGTGAAACGAATTAACTCCTTGGGGTGCCATAAGCTTTCGGAAGAACCTGATGGTAAGAATGGAGTAAATTCTGAAGTTGCTGAACCTATTGGACCAAATGAAGAGTCAAATGGAACTGTGGGTATCAATGGGAACCTCTCAAAGCAGCAAAGTTTCAAGACGAAATTAATAGCATCCGTACTTGATGAAAATCCGGAGAATACAGATGAGCAGAGAGTGAGTTGCTCAAATGATGATTTTGTAGCATCCATAGAGAATGTACCAGCATCTAAGGGACCTATTGGACTAGATAAAGAATCAAATGGAACTGGAGGTATCAATGGAAACCTCCCAAAGCAGAAAAATTCTGAGGGAGAAGCTGAAAATCCGGAGAATACAAATGAACAGATAGAAAACTGTGGGAATGATAATGCTATAACTGGTATAGAGAGCGTACCAGCATCTAATAGGCCTGATACTAGTACATGTTCACCTGAACAGCCTTCTGCTCCTACTGGACAGATTGGGAAAGATACCAATCAAATAGATGACGCGATAGTAGATAGGTTGACTGCTGTAGAAAGCAACCAAATTAATGGAGCCAGTAGAACAGGGCCATTGATCTCTCCAATTGGTTCATTCACGGAGAACCCAAATGCTGTTACGAGTCAGGTTTGCTTTATCTTCTGTCCTTATAAGTCTTTTCTTCTTTTTTTGTTTGGATGGGGTTAGGGATAGGGGTGGACCGAGCGGTGTGTTAATTTCAGCATCTTCTCATCCAATCTTCTGCTGTTCTACTTTCTGTTCCCTTCTTCAATGTTTTTAATTATCTGAGCTCTGTCACAAGATGTTCTGCCTAGGTCTCTAAAATACATACGTGACTTGGTCAGTCATTTATGTTGTGTATTTTGGACTTGAGTTTCACCTAGCACAAAGGGCTGCATTTCTCGGATCATTAGGGACCATTTCATTAGTATCTTTATAAATGATTTAAGAAGAAAAAAAAAAAAAAAAAAACATTCTGAGTAATTTTTAGCCTTGCGCCCAGAATGTGATTGTGGCCTTGTGGGGGGCTATTGGCTACTATCTATTCTCCTTTCCTTTCATTATCTCCTATTCACTTCTTTTACTGTTATTACCTGGTTAGGGGCTTGGAGATGAATCTCGTATTGGAGTGGGAGAGCAAGTAGGACCTACTACCCGGACACATACTACGCCTTTAGGTGAAACATCATCTTTAGATCGTCCCAATCATGTGCCATCTGACCTTTTGCATAATGAAGAAGAAGCACACTCTTCTGTCGAGGCTTTGCTCAATGAGTGGGTTACACATTACAATGATCAGTTGGGAGTTGCTCCTAATGGCAGGCTTGATATTCAGCCAATTGGAAATCATACATCTATTGTTGGTACCACAACCCCAAGGCATCAAGATCAAATGGGAGTGGCTCCAAATGGTAGGCTTGATATTCAGCCAATGGTAAACCATGGATTTATTGTGGATACCACTACCCCAAGTCAACAAGATCAAAATAGGGGCCACGTCTTAGGTGAAGCTATTTCACAGATGCCTGCTCATGTAGTTCCTGCAAAATTTTTCATCCCGAATGAAACTAATGCACCAGTAGCAAGAGGAGCTGTCCCAGCACATTCCAGCCATGCAAATCGAATGCAAATGCCTACTAACTCTTTGGTTACAACACCCAATCATTTTGATCCACTTCAGTCTGAAGTAGATAGAATACGTAGAGAGATGGGTAATTTGATGACCATTCATGAGCAAAAGGTTAGTGCATGCATTGCCTTCGTTTTCTTTTCCATTTTTTTTTTTTATTATGTCTGCCTTTCTTAATTATTTTTCCCCACCGGGCCTTGCAGAAGTCACAATTTAAATCAGAATGTGATAAAGAAATTGAGGAACTTGTTGCTCAAATTAAGAGAAACTATGACAAGAAGATTGATGAAGCTGAGGCATCATTTGCAGTTAAAAGGAAGGATCTTGAAACATGTCAGAACAAGGTCATGATGCATAAGATGCTGGCTGAGGCCTTTCGATCTAAATGCATAGACTATAAGGCTGCTACAAGGATGCCACAACTAGGTATTTAATTTTTTTGCTTTACAAATGACATTTGTTTAATTTAGGGTCAAATGAGAAAGCCCCTCTTAAAAAAAATTAACTTTTTTTTTAAAAAAAAAAAAAGCGAGAAAGAGAGAGTAATAGAAGTTGTAAAATTGAAAATACACATGATAACAAATCTACTAAGATCCCTTCATAATATTGGTTTTTTTTTCCTTCTTCTTTTTCCCTTGTTTTTGCCGTCAATGTTTGAAGTATCTTGACCTTGAAATCATAATTATAAAACTTTGACGTTGAAGTCAAGAGGACAGATGATATTGAGGCGGCAGTATTACTTTGTAGTTACACACTTCCTGATTTTATTATTGGTGCTGCTTCATAGTTGATTTCATTGTTGTCTGCTTCTCACAGTAATTTATGTTATAGGTAACTCTGCTAGTTCTGTAGAGATTGCCTCACAATTACATTCTACAAGACCTTTCTCTCCTGCTACGTCACCGTTCAGTGGTCCAGCTAGTGCTACACCACCTTTACGGGCTGTTCATCCCTCTATGACCTTAAGTGCTCAAGCCAGAATTTCTCGTGTTGACCTTGTAGCACTAACGGCAGGACAACATCAACTAATTAGGTGTGAAGCACGTGCCCCAGTCCCTCATATACAGCCCTTCAGATCTGCTTCATCTGCTATTTCTTCCAGCTGTATGTCTTCTGATGTGTTGGTGCCACAGCCACCTAACAATCCAACTTCTAACTTAGCACTGCAGCTCCCACCACAGCCACCTCCACTGGCAGCACCAGTACAGCTAAACTCTCGTGGTCAGTCTCGCCAAGAAGACTCTATGGGACGGGGTACACCACTTAGCTTATCCTTGAGTGCAACACAGTTGCTAATGGATATTACAAGGCGGCATGATGCAAATCTTCATTCTAACAACGTACCCTCTTTGCCAGATAATGTGCGAAGTTCTGAGTCTTGGGGCATATCCCGAGTTGAGGAAGCAATGAATGTGCAACCGTCTTCATCTAATATGAAAAATGGAGACGTGGTCTGTTTATCTGATGACGACTAAATATCGTGACATTCTTGGTACCCTAACCTTCAATTTGTTGTAACTCTTAGATCCTATTTTCAGCTTGGGATTAAGAATTATAGTAGTCTCTGGGTCTGCAAGCTGTATACAGTCCATTGCTATTGTAGCTATAGGTTAGCAGCTAATGTAACTATTTGTGATTAATTTGAAATGAAATAGGTGCACTCATATTATGCAAGATTCTTCCGGTGTACAGTGTTTGTGCTAGTGTTCTAGCTTTTGGAATATACTTCGTATTTGGGTTTTGGGATTTGGGAGTGCACTCATTAGGACTTAGGAGTATGTCAAAAATGTATACAACCTTAAAAAGGCCCCAAAATGGAAAAAAGAAAAAAAAATAAAAAAAAAAAGGGGGGGGGGTCTGAAAAAAAATTTACAACTATAATATCTAAATTGATCCAATATGAATTATGAACTACATGTAAAATTATGTTTCATCTGAGAACGAAATGTACTTGTATGTAGTATACTTATATTTTTTCAGAAAACTCTTACTACATTTTTAATTGTTTGGTATGAATGTTAAAAATAAGATGGAAAGGAAACATATAAGAGGGAGGAAAATAATCATTTAACTCTTACCTTTTATTTTTGGGTTAATCATAAAAAAGTATCACATTATCACTTCAACCAACTCTATTTTATCCCTAGGTAATGGTAATTGTTATTCAAACCTTTTATTCAAACACTTGGTAAGGTTAATGCTTTAATTGAATATGTTTTCAACTTAAAAAACACTATTACTCATCATGCAATTATGTAATTTGAAATATTTTTTATTGTGAAAAAAAAAAATCCACTTGATACATGATACATATACATGAGCGAGCCCCAATTTTTCAATTAAAAAACGTGGGATGTTTCTCTAACGATGTAAATGTGAATAAGAGTCAATTATCAATATTTTATATTTATTGCTCAAATAACATCGTTAATTTCCCATCCATCTTCACTCTTCTTCTTCCTCCTCTTCCTAAGAAGGGTGGAGCCAGGGGGGCCGGTGGAGGCCCGACCCTCCTGGCCCAATCGCCAACTCCTTTATTTTTAAACTTGGCCCCCTAAATAAATAGTATAAAATGTTAATTTTTGCATAGTTATACTGATATTAAGTTATTAGTTCAATTAATTATACCCCTATACTTACCAAGGCTAGACCCAAGTTCAAATCTTATAAGCCTCAATTGCCTTTTTTTTAAAACCCATTTTTGCTTCTTTAATTACATAGCTCACGTAGTTACATTTTTTTTTTTTATTAACCAGTAAAAATTACCGTCATTGTTTTTTTTAGGACTAGTCAAATTTAATTAATACCACTACATAAAAAAATTATAAAAAAAAAATTACAATAAGAAAAGCAGTATATACAATTATACATTACTATTTTACTTAATATGTAGTATAAGTCTTGGCTCCCCTAAATTTTTATTTCCTGGCTTCGTCCCTGCTTCCTACAATAAACCCCGTTGAGAGCTTGAGTTTTTGTCCACTAATACCACCGTTTTCAACATTTCTGGCATCTTTCATCTCCACCAACATGTCCACCACATTTATGGTTGCTTCGCTATTGAATTAAATAAAAACCCTAAGAACAAAAAGAGACATAAAAGGACATGGTCAACCCTAAAACGTTAAGACTTAAGGGTGTTTTGTCTTCCATCAAAGTAGACCTTAAGGTTTTGAAATCTTCATTGAAGAGCTCTTCGAATTTCTGTAAAATTCACGAAATTAGGAAAATGTTAACTTCGGTTATGGCTGAAAATTCAAAATACCCCACATACCTGCTCAAAATGACAACAATGAGCCCTTGAGAAACATATGTTGTTTCTCATGTTGAACCTTTATTTTTTCCATTTCTACTCGCCTACATTCTATTATGTGAACATGTTAAAAATAGATTTATTTTTGTATTTAAATTAAATACCAGTTGTATGATATGGTACTGAATTAAAAAATTATCTTAAAAAATTAACTTTCTCACATTTTAATTACTAAAATAATTATCCAATAATTATGCATTAGCTTGTCACTTTTCTCATTCTTTGCTTGTAAATTTGTAATATTGTTGTCAAAAATTGAATATACATTTATACGCGGATTGCCGATTATAAATATTTCTTGTCTATTTTTTTAATTAGCAATTATTTGAAATTCTACTAATGGTGATTATTATGCTTGTACTTTTTTTTATTAATAATTCATCAATTATCTTTAATTTTAATCGTCTTATTGCCTTTTGTTTGAAGGATTGTTCTTAATTGTACGTATAAATCGCAACAAAAAACCAAGATTCTTATATAACTAGAGTGTACCCGTGCAAAATGCACGGGATATTTAAGAAAAATATATTTTAAATATGAAAAGTTGATTTTGATGTTGTAATTTAGAGTTGAGCTATAGTGGTCGGTTATGTAGAACCCTAATCAGCTCTGTTGTATAGAGTAGTAATAATTGTATTAATAATGCGCTGACACCTGATGTGCTATGTTGAAATATGATATTCTATGCTTTGCTTAGAAGCTCAAAAAACAGGGTCTTACTCTTTTATGTCTATACGACTATACTACGTACAATAAAATAAAATAAAAATTAAAAAAAAAACACAAAGTGAAATGTTAGTAGTAGTTCCTTGAATTACTGATTTTTTAATAAAAAAATGATAAAAAAATAAAAATAAAGTAGTGGGATTGGTAGTTACTTTTTTTTTTCTTAAAAAAAAAAACCTAAATGCATGAGAGTTGAGCATTGGGGTTTTGAAGGCTTCTCGTTAAAACATCTCTTAAATTATATACTAGTATAAGTTTTTTTTTTTTTTTTTTTTTTTTTTTTTTTTTTTTTTGTGGTAAAATTGCATATAAATTGTGAATTAATTTGATATTTTATTTTACTCAAATTGTGGTGTGATTTGGAACTCCTATATCATAAAACCTATCCAAACTTGAAAGGTAGTTATTTTTACTCGTATATTTGATTTCCAACATTTCTCATTTAATTTAATATCGTACCCGCTTTGAGGGGTGTAGCGTATTACGTTTCATTCAACAACTAAGTACATTAAAACATATCGGTTAACTAACGATAACACTTAAAAAAGATGAAGGAAGTATTAAAGTAAATTACACATGATTAAGGTTATGTTCCCTTCAACTTAAAAAAAAAAAATACCTATTCAGTAAAGGAAATTTTAGTTTAGTAAAAATAAGTTCATTTCAGTAATATTTATTTCAGTTTAGTAGAAATTATTTCAATTTAGTAAAATCTAATTAATTCTGCGAAAATACAGGTTTTTCACCATATACTCCTGAGTTATTTATTTATTCATTTTATACCTATGAAAAATTTCAAATCCACTATATACCCATGAAAATTTTCAAATTCACCATACACCCCCGATTTTAACAAAAACATTGCCAAATGCTCAAATAAGTAACGGACGTCAACTTCATTAGACAGTAAGGGGTAATTGTGTCACGTGACTTCATGTGGTTGGTTCGTAGCTTTTTAAATTTATAAATTAATTATTAAAAATTATAAAATATGAAAAATTGCCCAAACCTAGCCACCATTCCTACCCACGACCCCCCTACATGGCGTTAGTTGCGCCTTTGCCTCCCTCTATCCCTTTCCGTTGAAACCTCCCCTTAAGCCACCATCCTGATTTTTCTCTCTCCCTGGCAAGTGCCAACCCCCCCTTCCATCTCTAACGCCGGCCCCAACACCAGCCCACCTCCCATATGCGATCGGCGTTGTAAGTTGTCCCTTCAACCGTCGTCCTTTCCTCCTTTTCCCTTAAACCACCTCGAAACACTAAAACTAAAATTTAGGGTTTCGTTTTTGGGGTTTAAGGATTTTCATCAGAAGGGAGTGGTGGATATGGTGGGGGGGTTGGGTGGGTGAGGGGAGGGGATGGGCGCTGACAAGAGGGTAGAGATGTGTTTTTCGAGTTGGGGGGGTTTAGGGTGGTGGTTCTGTGAAGGGTGGGTGGGTGGGTGGGTGGACGACGACATGGGATAAGGAGATGGAGGTGCGATGCCGACAGGGTGGGGGGAGGGGGCTGGCGAAAATTGTCAAAATGAATTTTTGTTTTAATTTCGATTTAAAATGGATTTGAAAAATAAAAATAAAAATTCTAGATTTTTTTTAAATTTTTTGTTTAATTTAAATAATAATAAACAATACAAATTAACTAATTAGAATATGCCATGTGGCATGATTAACCTTAACGACTAACGGAGTTGACGATTGTTAATTATTAGATCATTTGAAGAATTTTTTAACATTATCAATTTGAATTTTTTTATACTTATATGGTGAATAAACAAATTTATACTTAGTATTTAAAAACTATAACCAATAAACTAAGAAAGACACATGTTCCCATCCATTCTATTACACTTCTCTAACCATAGTGCCACATATCATTTTACACTATTAATTTTTTTATTACACCTATTTTTTTAAATTCTTTCATTAAACTTATAATTTATCTTTCATACACACTTTATCTCTCCTTTTTAATTCAACTTTTTCGTATTCTCTCTTTAATTTTAGCCCTTCCACCTTCTATTTTAAGCCTATTTTTTGATTAAAGCTCCAAAATTTTAATTTCATTAATCATGTTTCCGATTACATATTTACCATATAATAACTTACTGATATTTCCTCATTTATCTATCAATACAATTTTATATGAATAACCCGTGCATTGCACTGGCAGAAGATTAGTTACTCATAATATACGGTGAAAAAACCGAAGAAAACAGGATGAAATGAAAGAGATGTAATAACAAGTGGTAATTCTAATGAAAAGGTTATCAAGACTCTAAACGGTTCTGGAAGAAGTGGAAAGTTCTCGAACACCTCTCTATTTTTGTTTCTCTCTTAAAGCCCTAACCTACACAAACCCTCACTCACTCTATCAGTTTCCAGCCTTTGCTCCTTATCCTCACTTCACTACCATTTCATTCTCCATCTTCTCTCTTTCTCTCTCCTCTTCTCTTCGATAATCTGCTCTGCTTTCTATCAACAATGGCTTCTGCTAATGCTATCTCAACCACTTCCATTCTTTCCACACCCGGAAAGGTATTCATCTTTTTCTATCTCCTCATTTTTACTCTTTCTTTGATTAACAATTGGGTATTATTGTATTGTTTGTGCCATTGATTAATTTCCATGTTTATGGTTTTAGATTGGGTTTTTTGAAGTTTTTTTTTATATTTGGGAATTGGATTAGTCTTTTGTTAGTTTGTTATCTTAGTCTTTCATTTCAACAAACATGTGGGGTTTTATGTTATGCTAATTTAGCTTTGAAGCTGTGTAGATTAGTTAATAATGCTTGAAATTGTTAATATTATGTGGGTTTTTCTGGATAGAATTTTGGTGTAATTATAGCTACCTGAATGAGATTGGATTGAATTTTTGAATTGATGAATTGGGTTGCTTATTCTGTTAATGGTTCGTGGGTTTTAGTTGTTTTGCTGCCACTGTTTAGATTTGTGTATTCGTTACTTTCCATATTAGTAATTGATTGTGAATTCGACATGTTTTCGATTTTCGAATGTGATGAGAAAACATTTCCTGGGTTATGCATAAGTTTGAAGGATAAGGAATAATGAAATTTTTGTTTGTGTTGTTCTCTCTTAGTGGAAAGCTATATTTGACTTAATGTGTTTGTTATATGACCTGTTGTACCATGGATTTAGGGAAGCTTGAGGAAAGCAATTCCTCAGCGGGCGCAGAAGGTGCATTACAAACCATCGAGCAGGCGGCTTGTCGTGAGAGCTTCTGCAAAGCAAATTGCCTTTGACCAAGATTCCAGGGCCGCCCTTCAGGCTGGCATTGATAAACTTGCTGATGCTGTTGGACTTACCCTTGGTCCAAGAGGTATCTTATAATCCCTGGAAGACAAAGTTGCCTAGGAAAAGCAGTACCACTGTTACTTGCTTGGAATTTTCAATTAAACATTGATAATTTTATACGAAGTATTAATTAAGCGTGTTTATCATGTGTAACTCCTGACACTATATGTTGATGCTTTCTTTTTACTGGATTTTTTTTTGCTGAGTTGCTGTTTCTAATGCTGTATAATGGCTTATGATTGAATTTCTTTTTGCAGGGAGAAATGTTGTTTTGGATGAATTTGGTAACCCAAGGGTAGTTAATGATGGAGTTACTATTGCTCGAGCTATTGAGCTGGCTGATCCTATGGAGAATGCTGGTGCTGCCTTGATTAGGGAGGTATGGATTTTTCATGTACAAGTGTATCACTGTTGTTTCATTTAAGGAACACTATGCTTGTCTTGGAGGATAAGAATTTAGAGTTGTAAACTTTGTTGTCATGGTTAATAGTTTCTATATGTGATATGATATCGTTGGTGATATAGGTTGCCAGTAAAACAAATGACTCAGCTGGTGATGGAACTACAACTGCTTCAGTTCTTGCACGCGAGTTCATCAGACAAGGTCTGCTCAGTGTTACCTCAGGTGCTAACCCTGTGTCTTTGAAAAGAGGAATTGATAAAACTATCCAAGGATTAATAGAGGAACTTGAAAAGAGAGCCAGGCCAGTCAATGGCCGTGAGGATATCAAAGGTACTACTTTTTTCCTGACTACTGCTAGATGGTGTTGAGTTATTATGAAGTGTAAAAGCATTCTTATGGTATATGATCATGCATTTGTTTTCAGCTATTGCCACTATTTCTGCTGGAAATGATGAATTGATCGGAACCATGATTGCTGACGCTATTGACAAAGTTGGCCCAGATGGTGTTTTATCCATTGAGTCGTCATCTTCCTTTGAGACAACTGTCGAAGTGGAAGAAGGAATGGAGGTTTGTGGCTTGTATACTAGTGATTAATGTGCTTGTAATGTGAGTTTGTACTAAATGGTCCTCATATAATGTGGGTTGTTCCCTGTTTTGCAGATTGATAGAGGGTATATATCTCCACAGTTTGTTACCAATCCTGAAAAATCAATTGTTGAATTTGAAAATGCTAGAGTCTTGATAACTGACCAGAAGATATCTGCAATTAAAGATATTATCCCATTATTGGAAAAGACCACTCAAATGAGAGCACCTTTGCTTATTATTGCTGAGGATATTACTGGAGAAGCATTGGCCACTCTAGTTGTTAACAAGCTTCGGGGTATTATCAATGTTGCTGCCATCAAGGCACCAGGATTTGGAGAGAGGAGAAAGGCTATGCTTCAAGATATTGCTATCTTGACAGGTATTGGATTGTTTTCTTTGCATTATACTGTGGAAAATGTGTGATTTTGCAATTGTAAATGGTAAGCTCAAAGGCAAAAAATTGAAGTTTTGAGCCATTTGATAAATCAATCAAATAACTAACTATATTGATGACTATATCTTCTAGAAGTAGTTTGTATTTTGCGGGTTTAGGGTTTTGTTCACACTTTCTTTTAAATGTTGTGGTATCATGATTGCTGATGTTTCATCATTGGTTCTTTGGGATTGATTCATGTATATGACCTCTGTTTCTTAATATTTGTAACAAAGGGGTATTATTTGTGAGAGAAAAAATTCCTTGTTGCAAATAATAAGATACAGAGATAGTACTTCCGAGTTCATGATCAAATATTTGATTTTAGAGGACCTATTGACAGTTATTCTAGATAATTCTTGATGGTACTTCCGAGTTCATGATCAAATAATAAGAAACAGAGATGGTACTTCCGAGTTCATGTGGGTAATAATGTGCAACTTGTGTATAATTCAGGTGCGGAGTTCATGGCTAGTGATTTGGGATTGGCAGTTGAGAGTACATCTGTTGAGCAGCTTGGATTGGCAAGGAAGGTGACAATAACCAAGGATTCCACCACCCTCATTGCTGATGCTGCATCTAAAGATGAACTTCAGGCTAGGATAGCACAGCTTAAGAAAGAATTGTTTGAGACTGATTCTGTTTATGATTCTGAGAAGCTTGCTGAGAGAATTGCAAAATTGTCTGGAGGTGTTGCTGTTATAAAAGTTGGTGCAGCCACAGAAACTGAGCTTGAAGACCGTAAGTTGCGAATTGAGGATGCAAAGAATGCAACTTTTGCTGCTATAGAGGAAGGCATTGTTCCTGGCGGCGGTGCTGCTCTTGTTCATCTTTCAACATGCGTGCCTTCTATTAAGGAGAGACTGGAGGACCCTGATGAGCGTTTGGGTGCTGACATTGTGCAGAAGGTAAAACCTTTTCTTTTAATACCTGATTGTCTTTAGTCTGCAATCAATTTATAAGATATGGAGTAAACTTTCTGGAACTCTCAGCTATGACAGGAAAATATTTAGGCCTTGTTCTTTTTACCTTGGAAAATTAGTGAAGTTGTAGTAATATGAGTTTATACAAAAGATAACTTTAGATGAGTTCCATATAACATTATATAAGAACTAACTTAAGATCAGCAAATTTTTGAAGTAAACAAATTTTGGATTAAAGAACAAAGCTGAAATCTTTCGGTGTATCTGCACATATCTGGGAGTTCCATCTTAGTAGTGCTAAGTAGTCTCTCACATGTCTGTAAAATATTGTCAGACTGGGAACTTTCTCATTGCAAAAATGACCCAATTGTTTATTGCTACAACATACTACTATAAAAGATCATTAGAAGCTCTCAATTTGCTTTGTAGATAAGCTACTCTCTCTGTTGCATTTTCTGTTAATCTTATGTATTGGCTAATTGATGCAGGCACTTGTGTCACCGGCATCTCTAATTGCCTACAATGCCGGGGTTGAAGGTGAGGTGGTTGTAGAGAAGGTAATGGCAAGTGAATGGGAGGTTGGTTACAACGCAATGACCGACACATATGAGAACTTAGTAGAGGCTGGTGTAATTGATCCAGCTAAGGTGACAAGATGTGGTTTGCAAAATGCTGCCTCTGTTGCAGGAATGGTATTGACTACTCAGGCTATTGTCGTGGAGAAGCCAAGTGCTAAAGCTGCAGCTGCAGCTGCAGCCCAACCCGGTATGACCATATAAGCTAGGGTATGATAGGCTACTAAAGGTAGGACTAATAATCCAGATCTTGTTTTGGTAGTGAAGTGTATCAAAGTTTTGTATTGAGTAAAATTATTGATGGAAAGAGTAAATTGATCGTTGATTTTGAAGTAGTATTGCACCTCGAACCGACACTGTGTTCATTCTTCAGTTACTATAATGGGAAATGATTTTGGCAGTACATAAATTGGTTTTAACTTTTGTCCCAATTCTGTTTCTTAACTTGTGATGGAACACTCTCCAAATAGCTGAAGTCATTAGACTTTCTGAACTACAAGTCTTTAATTTGAGAGAAAGACTCTAATAAAGAAGGAAAAAGATTTTCAAGTAGGTCCTGTTTGTATTTACTTCCTATTTCTGTAATTTATAAGCTTTTATTCTACGATAAGTGTCTTGTCTGTATTACTTCCTCCGTTTTTAAATGCTTGTTCAATTTCTATTTTTTGCATTATTCATTTGTCCTACTTTGACTAATGTTTGTGATTTATTTATAAGAAAAATATAGTTTTGTGGGTACTTTATGGAATCATAACAATGAATAGGTTATTAATTTTCAATTGTTAGAATTTATGCTTATTGATAATTAAAGATATAAGTGATTAAATATTAGCATCGATATGCGTGTCCAAGAGAAATGGAGCAAGTGCAGGGAGTATTATTATTGTTTTTTTTTAATCAGCTTTTTTTTTCTTTTTTTTTTTTTTTTTTTTTTTTTTTTGTTGTTGTTGTTTGTGTTTCACCTGGTTTACTCTTTGAGCTGATCCGTATTCGGGGATCAGTTTTGGGTGGTTAGGTTTAAGTTTTCTCCCAATTGTTATTGAGGGGGATTGAATACGGGTCTTCCTTACAAGGGTAGTCCCAATCATCACTAAATGAATCCTCAATTGGTTTTTTTGAATCAGCATCTTTATTGCAAAGCCTCTTAATATGCTACGGAGTATCCGCAACAACAAGAGTATTTTAGTCTTTAGGATTTAGATTCTTTTGTTCCCTTTTTGGTCAATTGGTTCACAAATCGCATATGTTTTTCTTTAATCATAATGTGAATCTTTAATTACAGATGCATTCAATGTGCTTGGTTTTTTTTTGAAAAATATTCATTGTGCTTTCTTAATTAATCTGTACGACTTCCCCTAAAAAAAAAAAATAATAATAATAATCTGTACGACTTTATGTAAGTGTTAATCCGTATTTGCTATTCAAAAAAAAGTGTTAATCCGTATTTTAGTTTTCTTCACTTTTTGGCTCATCTTCTATGGAATATAATGCATGTAAAATCGCGATTTTAAGGACAAAATTTTGTTTCAAAACTGAGTCATATGGCTGGTTTTCATGCCTTCAAAGGATAAGGTTTTCATTAATTGATATTTAACTATGATTATCTTATTTCTAAGTTTTTTTTTGTTTATCTCATTTGTCTTTTTATACGGTTTTTAATATACACATTTAAACATAAATGTCTTCAATTATGCACTATAATAGTGTATAATTCACTATTAAAATTAAAATTAGATTTACATGTACTCTGTAATATCGATTTTAATTGATTAAAATGGCAATGATGATTATAAATAATTACAGTTAGCGCAACCACATTTTTTAAAAAATGGATAAAATGGAAAATTAGTTAAGTGATTCGATAATATGTATTCCGTACAATTATGTATCAATGTCAAGTGGGAAAAGATGCCACTGCATCATAAACGGGGAATGCCGACCGATCTGGTGTGGTAATAAATGAAGTGCTCCCTCCAATAACCTAAGTTTCAATGACTCATTAATTACTTGCGAACTTAGCAACTTACTTTAAAGCATAACATCTCACCCCATCTCTTGTGATGTCAACCCTGTCCGTAGTACTAGTACCCATATATCATGCCTTTCATTTAATATACAGCTATTTGCCAGTCAATACTATGCTCTCATCAACTTCATCACTTTTTTTTATTAAGGGATTGTCTGTTCAACGTATTAGAAGTCCAAGGAGATCAAATCCCGTACAAGTTGTATCGATACTTTAACCAGTTAAGATAGTTGACATTATTTATTGTGCACACGTGGAAAAAAGTTTGGATAGACAGTATATATTTGTAATATCACCATTACATTATAGTACCAAATTTACTTTTGACCTTTTGTGCTTTTGTTTATAGATGAATTAGTCCACACCATAGTGTGGTGTATCATTCTTTTTGAAAGTACAATAATTCTTGTACAACTTTCTTGCTAGCTAGATTTTGTAACTAATTAAGCTAATTGCTATATATAATTAATGGTAGAAAAGAAGAATAAAGTGTTAATGAGAAACAATGAATAATGTACAAACAGCTCAATACATGCATGTTTAGTCCTCATCAACGGAGAAATCAGGTTCAGCTGGCTTCTGCAATGCACCAATACTCGAATCCATACTCGAGTGCTTGTTACCAGCCTTCCTTTTACTTGATGCTAATCGCTTAGCATACAAAGAGTACCCTGATCCACTGACATCATAATCTTCACTACTTAACTGCCCTTGATCATGCTCATATGTCAACATGTCTTCGTGAGCTTTACACTCACTAGCATTATGTCGTCGTTTCTTCTGTCTTCGCCATGCTGCCTGTATAAAGCAGGCAGCCCAAAGTCTCCAGTGATGGGAGTAGAATCGAAATTTGTGTCTCAGTTGCTTACTGTGCAGCTTTCTGAACTGTGCAGCCACAAATTTTAAGTCTTCTGCTTTCAGAGCGAAGGCTTCCACCTCTGAGATGGCCTTGACTGTTCGAGTTGATGATGGAAGGATCACACTAGGCCGGGGATCTAGAGCCCATGTTAGGAGCTCCTCGCCACAGAAGTCACCTGGCCCTATCTTGCATGAGTTGAAGAAGCCTGTTCGGCCTCCATTCGTTGTGTATGAATCCAAATGGCCTCGGATTATGAAGAGCATCTCGTTCACAGGGTCTCCCTCCCTTACAAGAAACGTGCCTTCCGTGCATAAAGCAGGCTTCAGCCTCTCACATATAGCGTCTAGCATTCTTTCTTCCATTTGGTCAAATAATGGGACCTGTATTTAGAATAACTTGTCAATCCTTTTTGCTGTGATTACTTTCTATTTCTGTATTCTATGAAGAATGTTTGTTGTAAACTTACCCGGCGGACTAAATCAAGACAGAGATGACGTTTAATATCCCTACGTAGATCCATGGGAAGGCCTTGGAGAAGAGCTTCCTCGTCGACCCCTCTTGTTGCCACCCATTTGTACTGATCATATCTCCTGACAGACTGCTTCAGCTCTGGGGGCAGCTGCCTGTGATGCATCCATTGCTCTGTATCAGTTCTCCTGATCCTCCACTCTTCCAACCGGACTGTAGTTGATTGCAGATATGTCTGAATTACAGCACATGGAAACATTCACTCTTAAATTCTTAGGTACTAAATTTATTTCTAAGTTCTAGGCCACTAAAGTCGAAACTTATATAAGCTGACACAGTGGCCTATTATGACAGGGTGCTAAGTTGCTAACCTGCATGTTACCAATAAGGAGGGCAAATAAGACCAATCCGAGAGTTGCAGCTATGATCGCGAAAACTATTTCACCGATAGAGGTGCTTGTTGAAAGGTCCTGCCCAAGAGAACTGCACATAATGATTCGAAACTGATCAGACCATTAACAATTGAGAAGGCAATATTATTTGGCCTTAACACATTATATCCAATGTATTACCTCAAATTTTTCAAACCCCACCAAAGACAGTAGAAATATTTGTTGATGAAAGGTGAAGAGGTAACCCCAGTAGTCACGGCCTCACCATAAATTCCGAAAGTGTAGCTGTTTTTATCAGGATCACATACTTTTGTTATATTGCTCATTTTAAACCAATTTTCTCTGCCTGCATCCTGAACTCTCCTACAATCAAAATATTTGTATAGACACATCTGACTCTCGAGGCTGCAAGCGTGCTTCCAGCACGCCTCTTCTCGCTCTATTGACAGAAGATACCAGCAAGCTCCTAAAACCTACAAACATTAGAAAGGTTGTACTGACTCGCTTAATTAACTTGTTAAGTAATTTTACATATATGAAAACAAGACAATAAAATTATTTCATAATCATGATCAGATTTTTGCTCTATATCATTATGTTCTGTCAAATGATTGAAGTTCAGAGAATCCTAGTTAGACAGTAGAAAATACAGTAAAATACAATCAGAAGCACCAATTATTATGCAAAGAAAGTGACTTAATATATATTTAATTGCACCCTACCAAAATTAGATATATTAAAATAAATACAGAGATCTGTCACTATGTCAGACACTTACATGGCTTGCCATTATGAACAGCATGAGATTGTAAGCAGCACCAGCCCAAGCAGTCTCAGTAACCACACCAGTAGCCTTCACTATTTGAGACGATAAAGGAAATATCAAGAACAATCGCGGTAAGTACTGAAAAATCAGGATAAACCGTAACACATTTTTCGTGTTCATCATCATTGATCCACTTAGGTTCGGAATCACTCCCCATATCAACACCTAAACCAAAACATACACAAAAATATTAATGAAAAAAAAAAAAACAAAAACCATATTTGTTATAAATTTCAGGTATATATTTGATATATTAACTACTTAAATTTAATGTTGTAACCCCTTAACTACATGAAATATCTAGTATCCATTATATTGTCCAACCTTTAAAATGCTCGAAAATTATTTGCAAAATTAGAAAGTGAACCTGAGGAAGAGGCAGAGCAGCAATGAGCTCAATGAAGAACCAATTCTTGAGGTATCCAAGAGCAATCTTCTTAGGATCAACAACAAGCTCACCCCTCCCGAAAACACGAGAAGACGGAGCAATATACGCAGTCCGAAATCTAAAATAAATCTGAACAACATAAAAAACATCAGCCATTGTTCGAATTACAGTAAGAGCAATCTCCAACTTCATCTCAATCTCAATGCACATGATGTCTCCTTTTACAGCAGGCAAGAAGAAAAACAACGGGTCGACGAACAATGAAACCAAACACGCTATAAGAAACACTTTATTCCATCTGTTAATCGTCTTTCCTCTAGGATCATGTATCTTTCTCTTAACCCTTTCATAATCTTCAGAGAAAACTCTCGAAAGCACCTTGGTTCTCAACGATAACGGCGATGACGGGGATGACGGGGATGATGCTGATGATGGTATCTTAGTTCCATCGATAGTGTACTTCTGCTTTACTTGTACTAAGTTGGTTCTGTTTTCTCTGTTTCCTGGTGCTGCTGCTGATGATGCTGCTGCTGTTTCGACTTCGTCGTGAAACCTTACAGATCTTGATTTGTTATACTCCATTGTTTTTGTCTGGCTAAGTAGCCAGATGAATAGTGTAAAATGAAAGTCAAGAAATGAGTTGTTATATAAACAGAGTTTCCATAAGTAATGGAAAAAGTGAGAGAAACTGGAAAAGAAAAGTGTGAATATGATCAATATTATTTCATTGTTTTTTTTTTCACGGGTTTATTAGTTTGACAACTGGAATTGTAGAGGATGATTTAAAGAGGCACACAATTATTTTATTATATACCTACTGTATAATTTTTATTTATTTATTTATTTATTTTTTGTAAAGGATATACTACTGTATATGTCTATATAGGGATGACAATGGGGCAGGTCGGATGCGGATGATGATACCTCCATACCCATGCCCACCTAAAAATCTTATACCCATCCCCGCCCCACCACCCGTGGCGGGTACAATATCCACATCCATACCCGTCCCACCGGGTACAAGATAGGATCCATCCCCGCCTCATCACCTACTTGGATATTCATACCCACCTCATACCCGCCCCAAAATCGTCCCAAACCCTTTGCCATAATGCTCTATTGTATCACATTAATGACAATTATATCAAATTAGGCTGAGAAAATTGGGACTTATACTATTCAAGCTTATTGGGTGTTTGGGGGTATCAAATTTCATAAATTCTCAACTCTTTTAAAAGAAATATGGTGCGGGTATAATATGGGTACGGGGCGGGGCAGATATGGGGCGGGTCTACTCTAAAATCCATACCCGCCCCATCACCCATGGCGAGTACACATTTTATACCCATCCCCGCCCCATCACCCGCTAAACCTCCCTCCATCCCCGCCCCACTAGGGCGGGGATGGGGCGGGTCTCCCATTTAACCCGACCCACTGCCATTCCTATGTCTATATAACAAATTAGTTATATATATTTTAAATACTTGTTCTATTTCTCCATGCGTGGAATTTTAGGAGAAAATGAAGAAAGTAATAAAATATGGAGGTAGTGGGGTAAGTAAAAGAATAAAAAATTGAGAAAAACAAAAGTAGTGGAGATAATTAGAAGAGAGAGAATATGAAATTAATAAAATATGATTTATATTGAGCCCACTATGTAAGAGAAATGAATTAAATATTCTAAAAATTTTCCAAATAAGGAAATGAAGTAAGTATTAAAAAACGGTCGCAAAAGAAAAGTGGAGCAACTATTTAAAAACGGAGGGAAAACTTTGTAATACTAACTCCATTCTGTAATTAAGGAAGGTTACATTTGTTGATTTTTCATGGTTAATAAGAAAAATCATATAGTGGGAATCAAACATGAAATTAACTTAAAACAAAAAAATTAAGAATAATTGAAATGTAATCATTGAAGGGGAATGAGCAAATGCAACCTTCTTTCAGGGACGGAGTGAATACATCTTAGTTCAAAATATATTATAATATTGAGAAGACGCGTAAAATTAAATAAAAAAAAACATTTAGAGCACCCACAAAACAAAACATAAACATGTATAGTAAAATGTATATTAGATGTTTACATTATAATAGCAAGGAAAGAGATGTTGGAAATTAAAAAAAAAAAAAAAAGGAGTAATATTTGTGAATCTTTTAAAAAATATAACTCTTGCAATATAAAGAATAGAGAAAATATGATGGTATAATACGACAAAGTTACCTTCTATAGGAGGGATTAATAAGGCACACACCTCTTACATGGTTACTCAAAAACAATTAAAACAAAACCATTATACATAAAAGAGTATTAAAGATAGGTGTAAAGTAAATTAATCCACACAATACCGATTGAAAAATAAAAAGTAGAGTAAGCAAGTATACAAAAGCAAGATAATGTGAGTTGAAGACTTTGTTTCAACAAGGGTCATGTGAGAACTGAAAAGAATTGAAGCTCACATAAACTAATAAAGTATAATGAAAGGTTCTTTATTTTTTTCTACCAATTTGGAAATTTTTAGTTTAACGATTTCATGTGTTTGATTCTTGAGTAAGGAAAGTCTAAAGTCAAACAAAAGACTTTAAAAAAGTAAACAGTATCTAAGTCTTACAAAGAACAAATGAGTATTATTAATTTATTTAATTAGGGTAAGAAGGATGGTGGGTTCTTATTATATATTTATTTCATACAAATGAAGTACAGTTTTGAGATGGGCATTGACTTAATGATGAACGTGCGCATTGAATCCACCAAGATGGGTGGATAATTTAGTGTTACGCTAGGAATCATTTCAATGTTTAACAAAGTTGTACAGAGGTTAGCTATTGGTTCAATCAAGTTTATGACATAACCCAATCTATTTAATATTTTTTTTTTGACGGGAACCCAATCTATTTAATATAAGTACTCTATAGTACCAACATTATATTCTATAAATGTTGGATAAAACACGGTTATTGAAATTTCATATGAATGAATTATACATAGCTAATAAAGGACTGCACTTGGTAAGGAGCAGTGGCAGGCCAGGAATTTCAAACCGGAGAGATAAATGAATAGCGCATTATTTGACAAAAATGTCGGGGCAAAATCAATACTTGAACACATATAATTAGTTAAATAATTAAAGTGTTACAAAATCCAAAATACTTACTAAAGAAATCTAATATCATATACTCTCTCAGTTTTTAAATACTTGCTCAATTTCTATTTTTTGCCCTATTCATTTGTCCTACTTTGACTAATGTTTGTGATTTATACATAAGAAAAAATATAGTCTTGTGGGTACTTGTTGGAATCATCTCAATGAATAGATTATTAATTTTCAATTGTTAGAATTTATACTTATTGATAATTAAAGATATTAGTGATCAAAGATTAGCATCGGCATACGTGTCCAAGAGAAATAAAGCAAGTACTACCTCCGTTAACGGTTATTTGCAACATTTGCCATAAACGGATGCTACCTATTATTTGCAACAAATATTTTTTTTCCTCTTTTAGTAAGTTTTTTGTATAAAATGACCAAACTGCCCTTACTTAACTAACCTACTCCCTTAATCATTTCACTAACCATACACTATTATAAGTTTATAACCTAACTTAATCATCTAATCTTAAAAATAAAAAAAATCAAATCTTAAAAAAAAAAAAATCAAATCTCAACATTCATCAAATTTCTCTCTCCTCCTTCATCATCAAATTCTCACTCCTCTTTCATCTTCCCATCTTCTGTCCAGATCTGGAGGTAGTCTCCCGTGTTTTTCGTGGGTGTGGTGGTTGTGGGCGGCACGAGCTTTGTGAAGGTGGTTTCGTGGGTGTGGTGGTTTTGTGGGTTTCGTGGGTGTGGTAGTTTTGTGGGTTTCGTGGGTGGATCTACATGACGATAGTCATGGATCTGGGTCTAGGTTTTGTGGTGGTTGATTTTCGAGGGTAGGAGGCGGCGTGGTGTTGGTTTTCGTAGGGTAGTGGGTGGCGTGATTTTCGATTTAGTGGTGGTGGTTTAATTAGAATTAATTCGATCAATTCCTGGTGGTGGTGGTGGTTTAATTGGCATTATTAGGGGCTTTTGTGGTGGTGGGTTTTGGTGGGTTAGTGTTTTTTGGTGCATTTTGGTGGGTTTTGGTGGTGGTTGTCGGTGGGTTCGTAGGTGTCGGTGGTTTTCGGTGGGTTCTGGGTTTTCGGTGGGTTTGGTGGTAGTGGTGATCTTTGTGGGTTCGGTGGTGGTGGTGATCTTTGTGGGTTCGGTGGTGGTGGTGGTTTTTGGTGGGTTCGGTGGTGGTGGTTTTTAGTGCTGGGTTTGGTGGTTGTTCGGGTTATTTGTGGTTTATTTTTAAATGGATTAGTGCTTAAGTACATGCCCTTATATTTCAATAATCTTGTTTTAAAACTTTTTCTTAGGATTCCGTGCTACCCCCCTTTGTTGCAGATAACTGTTAACGGAGGTAGTATTTAAAAACGGAGGGAGTACTAATAATACCTCCTACAATGTTAAATTATTAGTACTACGTGTTTGAATAGTGATGTATCTATATATATAATACTACCTCCGCTTCACATTACTCACAACAAAGTACATGTTTGCGGAGGTCGAGGCAAAAGATTGAAAGTGTGATTAATTAGGGGAGGGGTAAAGTATTAGGAGAGATAAAACGAAGGGAAATACATGTGGTCCCTTATTTAGGAGAGAGAGTGCATGTGGGGGGGAATATTATTTCCCACCTTTTTTTTTAATTTTATAATTCCTTTAAGGGACCCAAATTTTTTGGCTCCAATTGTTTTCTCTCCTTCAATTTTCACGAAAATTCAAACATTCCCCAACTTTCAATTTTTTCATTTAATTCAAACAAAAAGACCTCTATATAAAGAGGTCTCCCACCCCAATAAACCCATTTTTTCCTTTTATTGTTCACTACCAATGAGTTTAGTGAGAGGGGGGGTGGGGGATAAAGTTTTAGAAATTTTTACAAAAACTAACACCACCATTGTTAACAAAATACAGGCAGGCCTACGAATTACATTTCACTACAATTAGTTCTAAACCTAATTTCCAAAAAGTTTTGTTAGTTCCATCAGCATGATTATATGTACATAAATCAGGCTCCATTGAAGATCGCCACAAAAACCAACAACCACCACTTCATCACCTTCACCTAATCTGAAAAAAAAACCAGGGACTCATGGATGATTTTTTCCAAATGCAGCATCTTTATGCAGAGGAACAACACAAAGCAGAATTCTATAACCAGGGATAGCATCATCACTTCTATTCAGAAGCAGAATTGCAAAATCAACAAGGCAACAATTCAAATGAAGACAATGGTTATGATGTAGATGCAGATGAAGCAGAACCACATGAAGATGAACAACAAGAAGGGGGGAGGGCTAAGAGAGAAATGACAGTAGATGAAAAAAGACAACTTGTTGATGATATCTTGCTGAATATGGAAGGGGACTCTTTGCCAAAAGGGTTTTTATCCAACTTAGCCAGAAAACACATTTACACGGATCAACAACAACAAGATGGTTCAGGTAATTAAATAACACTTGACTGATGGTAATGTCATTGATGTTAGGACAAAAAAAACTAGGGAAAGTTGGGCCTAAACTAAAACAGTACACTGATGAGTGGTTAACTTTAGTGCCTCTTTATAAGAGGACCACTGAAAGGAGCTATGCTGCTGCCCTACATGTCTCCTCTTCTACCATACATAGATTAAGGAAAAGGGTAGACTAAGAACAGACACTGCAACAAATCACCCTACACTTTCAGACAATCACAAAATAGCTAGACTTAAGTGGGTACTTAGCTGGGTGAATCCTGTTCCATCACTGGGGGACCCTACATTCATTGACATGCAATATAGTATTCACATAGATGAGAAATGGTTCTTTTTGAATCCTGAAACTAGAACATTTTACTTACTGCCAAATGAAGAGAACCCATACAAAGCACAACAATCTAAGAGGTTTAAACTCAAGGCAATGTTCATGGGTATAGTAGGCAAGCCACTTTATGATGA